GAAGCGAAAGACGAACTAAAATGGTGGCTCTTCCATATGGAAGCCTGGAATGGTCGCGCCATCTTTGGCACCACACCATATCTCATAATAGAGTCCGACGCGAGTTTGCTCGGTTGGGTGCTCACTGTGGAAATGTTTCTACAGGTGGCAGATGGTCCGACATGGAATCATCCCTCCACATCAATTGCCTGGAACTTCTGGCTGGAGCCTTTGCAATCTGCAGTTTCTCGCCAACTCAAGCCCAGTGCTCTATCCTCCTGAAGATGGACAATATATCAGCAGTCCGATATATCAACCACCTAGGGGGCACGAAATCGAGGGTCCTGGCGAAAATGGCACAAGATTTCTGGCAATTCTGCCTGGCACAAGGCATCTCAGTCACAGCGGAATATATCCCCGGTCTCTGCAACACCATGGCAGATTGGTGCTCACGACACCTCAGGGACCCCAGCGACTGGCGACTGGACCACAGGGTCTTCGGAGATACCCGGTCATTATGGGGCCCCATGAACAAAGATCTTTTTGCCTCCCGCTTGAATACACAACTTCCCAGATTTGTCAGCTGGAGACCGGACCCATCAGCACTGGCAACAGATGCGTTCACCCAAGATTGGGCATCCACAAGGAACTATGCCTTTCCACCTTTGGCAATGATTCCACGTTGTCTACTGCAGTTGCGACGCCAGACGGGAAACTCTGGTGATTGTGACACTGTTATAGCCCTCCCAACCATGGTTCACTCCCTGTTAGAGATGGCGATAGACATACCTCGCATTCTCCCACACTTCGAGTACCTGCTGTCATGGTACCTGTTTTAACTGGGAGCAAGGAGACTGGACGTCTGGAAGTCCTGTCGCAAGTGGGCACACAGGCACCCTTCTCCTCCAGCAATTTCGGCACTTTAGATGCCGGCCGCGATAGCCCCGCCCCCTTTTATGACGCGGCGCAATTCCTCCGACGTCTTAACATCAATGACGTCACGGCCCGCCGAAAATGTCAAACCAGGACGTTTTGGGGGCGTGGACATCAATTAAAGAGGCAGGGTATAAAAGGTACTCACTTACAGTGAGTCATTGCCCTGTCATGATTTCAGCTTGTCTGTTCCCTCAGTGCGTTTCCTGTGATTGTTTTTTTGGTTATTGACTTGGCTTGTATTCTGACTTTGCTTCTCTCTCCTACCCTTGTACTCGGCTTGGCTTTCGCTTACCTGTCTTCTCTTTCCCTCGACCTCGGCTCGTCCCTGACCATTCTTTGTCTGTGTGACGTTAGTCCGGCCACTCTAAGGTCCCGTATACGTCTTTATATTGTCAGTACTCTGCGTGTTGGATCCCTGTCTCGATCCTGACACCTGCTTCAGGACCCGGACGGATCCCCTCATCCCTTGATACAACAAGGCCTTCTACATCTCACAGTGTGGCTGATCTCCACCTTCTCGAGGGCGCATGGGCACCCGGCACAAGACAGGCTTATAAGTCTTCATGGAACAGATGGTGTGATTGGTGCATGGAATAAGATTTGGATCCCATATCGGCTCCTCTGACTTTGATCCTCCAATTCCTAAATTCATTGTTTGAAGATGGCAAAGCCTACCATACAGTGAACCTGTACCAATCGGCCATTTCGGCTGCACACCAAGGTTTAGATGGAATCCCGATAGGACGCCACACGCTGATATGTAGACTCTTACGCGGCATCAAATTTGCACGTCCCCCTCTACCACGATATTCGGTACTATGGGACGTTTCCATCATCCTCAATTTTCTAGAATCATGGCCAGACAATGCATTTCTATCCCTGAAACAGCTGTCTGCTAAACTGGTTATGCTCTTTTGCCTCGTATCCTGCAAGAGGGTTTCCGATGTCAGAGCTCTGGACATCACCGCGCGTTCCTACACCCCCGAAGGGGTCACTTTCAATATTTCTTGAAGAACGAAGACGTCATCAGAGAGAGTGTCATACCCAGCGTTTCCTAACAGGCCGCTCTTATGTCCGGTCAAATGCTTACAAACTTACGAACTTTGCACCTCCGCACTACGAGACATAACCAAACTCTTCATTTCGTTACAAAAACCACACCTTCCAGTGTCTACTCCTACCCTGGCTCGCTGGGTTAAATGGATTATGTCCTTAATGGGCATTGACGCCTCACTATTCTCACCTCACTCTGTACGGGGAGCAATGGCTTCCAAGGCCTATTCGATTGGTTGTCGACTTGAAGACATTTTGAAAGCGGCCGATTGGTCCTCAGAATCTACCTTTCGTGATTTTTAGCCTCCGTGTCTTAATAACATTCACAGATTTTACTATTACCATGACGTAAAGTCATGATTTTATTAACGACACGGAGGCGAGTATTATCCCTCCCTCCCATCCCGAAGAAGGATGGAATATGGGTATGTTGATCTCACTGTAAGTCCTGATATTATGGAGTTTTTTCTCTTCATGCTATGTTTGTCATTACTTGATCTTAACCACAAGGGACGGAATAGGGATAAGTTGGTTCACGGTAAGTTCTGGTATCATGGAGTTTTTCCTCCGGTTATGTTTCTCAATCCTTAAAACTTAATCACAATAGCTTCAAATAATTAAATTCTATCCACAATGGCCGGTGATTCATGCATACACCCAGTTTTATACTAGAATATTACCAATATCTTTCCTCTTTTACAGCCTAATCTGCATATCGTTACGAATATTCCCTTTGTACTCGACCCCTTTTTTCGGTTGGACGGTTATTGTTATTCGAGATCGCAAATAAAGAGGAATAGGATTGGTTGACAGAGCCTATTATGCTGGAGAGAGGAACCTGATTGGCTGTTCCTGTTGCTAAGGAGATACTACTCTCAGACTTTTATGTTATGTACTGGTTATGTTTTGGAAAAAAAATTCTTTGCTACTGAGGGAAATAAAGAAAAAGTGCAGCATAATACTCGCCTCCGTGTCGTTAATAAAATCATGACTTTACGTCATGTTAATAGTAAAATCTGTTAATTATTGTACTCTTTTCATAGATCCGCTTATCTGGGTGTGCTGGGTGTGCCTGGCACACAATATAGTATCACGAACAAGTCTGGACCATGTGGTTCTTTATTAATAATATTATTTGTATTTATATAGCACCAACATATTCCGCAGCGCTGTACAATATTATGAAAGGGGGAAATTTATCAATAAATTAGACATTTACAAAATGATAGAGAAACAACAGGTAGGTGAGGACCCTACCCAAAGGAGGTTACAGTCTAGAGGAGGTGGAGTATAAGAACACAAGGGGGACAGCAACCAAGCAAGATCTTTAAAACATTTTTAAACAAAATTCCACAAATGTCAAGAAGGTAATATATAACAGCAGTAGGTTTTTATCACGTCAAAATGTTTTATTGAAAATGATAAATTTTTCTTTTAAATAATAATAATTTGAAAAAAAACATGCTTTAGGATATTACTTTGCTGGAAACATTTTTTAGTCCTCATTTATTCACATCACAAAAATGCCCTGTCTGTAAAATTTGCCAATTTGGTATTTATTTATTTATTTTAGAGACATCATGATGATCAGGCTTGGAGACAAAACTACCATTTTTTATTTTTTTTTATTTTACAAAGCAATTTTAAAGCTCATCAGCATAGACAATCAATCCATTCACTTAAGCCATAAAAGAAAGATTTACCGCAGTATCTTTTGATTGGAGTCGGACTTCTAATGACTTTGCTAGGAGCCACACTTCAAAGACGACAAGCCTGAAATGTGAAGAATAATTTCCCTGCGTCCTTACAAGAGAATAAACCACTTGCCCAATTTCTCCTAATTGTTTCTGATTGCTATTTGTGCTACCCAGTGGCTCCTCCATCTTCAAAATCACCTTCAAGGGTTCCACTACGGTTTGACTGTTCACTGTTTAATCATGAAGTTCCAAACGGCAAATCATTCGGGCATTACAGCAGAAGGGACCTTCAGCACTGTCTCATTTATCTAATTGACCTTAGGAAGCCTTTTACTAACGACATAGAGGGTACATCACCGCTGCACACTGCATTTTAATTTGAATGTTCTTTAACCCCCTCCGTGACCAAAGGTTTTCTAAGACTACATGCGCATGAGACCGAGGTCTCTTTGGCACCTTTGCTATGTGTTCATTCCACTGTTATTTAATGCTTTCTCTTTAAGTGCCCCCAATACATGTAATATATTTGGGTTATTACTAAACAACTAAAGAAAACCAACACGGAATAGAGTTAGTCCTGATTTTTAAAATGTGTCGTGTCTAGGATTTGAATTACATTTTGGAAGGTATAGGACAAATTGCAGTGAAATGAGGATTTAAAGCTAAGCCTGTGTAAAATGTAGCACATTGAGACTTTGTAAATCACAGAATAAGTCAGAAAATCGAAAACAACTAAATAAAGGTATATATTAATAGACACTAGAGTCTATTTTTTTTTTTTTTTTTTGTCAATCTTTATTAAAGGCATATAAGATGCGGTACATTAGAAAAGCAAGGGAAATGTACGAGTGATTTACAGCATAGGGTTGATATATCATTTAGCAATATTAAATTACATTTCCAGGATAGCGATGCCTCATTTTAAAAAAAATTTTTGTCGTTAAACTATAGGTTGAAAATACAAGCTATGGATCATAGGATTAAAAAGGCTTAGGAAATATGCAATACTAGGCTATTGGTTAAATAGAGTTTAGAAGCTAGACATGCTGAACTGTTGCGTCATGGTTGCTAACAGGCGTATAGTAGTGAGAATAAGACGTTAGAGTACAATTTAAATTGCTAAGACAAGCTGGCAACGTAGCACACATCTATCTATAGAGCAACAATTCGCAGATCAGTTAGGTCCTATTGACTAGCCTGTCAATCTAGGAAAAGGTCTGTCTAGCAGCATATTCAATAACCTTGTTAATCAATGTACTCAGGACAGGAAATATGTCCACAGCGAAAGCTAAGCAGGTGAAGATGATAGGTATGTTAGACATAGTGGTTGGTAGCCAATGTGAACCCGTCTGATAAGACAACTGGGGCTTATCTGCGTAGGCAGGGCAAGTATAATGTGCTATGTGTATAAGACATGCCATGGTGTGTGGCGATTGTACCTAGTGATTGGTGAGAGAGCACGTAGATAGCCTGTCCTTCATGAACCGGTCATGCTCACTACAGGTTATGTGGCTATTATGCAGGCGTAGTGAAGTAATAGAGAATAGCATAAAATGAACCTGCCACTGTTGCTGGGTAAGACATGTACAGTACGCCATACTATCCCGACCTATCACACTATGCGAAATTTAGTATTAGTGCATAACTAGTATTCAGGCTAGGTCACAGATAAACATCCTAATTTGCCCACCAACGCTTCAGAGTTATGCATCCGCACAGTGGGAGCCCCATAGAGAGAGTTCATGCAGGCAGTCCAGGCTAGGCCCTCAAGAGCCCCCTGCTGGGGACGGAGTTAGGGGGACTTCCCGTGAAAGGAGCTATATCAGCCGATACCTCTGCTGGGGATGATGGCAACTTGGACCGGTAGAGACCGCAGGGAGATGGTGAGGTGCAGGTAGGTAGAGGGAGTTCTCCAGCCCCTGGCCGGTGTAAAGGCCCACACCTGCGGTCCACAGACTCGGTACCTCGCGGCTGAGGCCGTGTTTTCCCTCTTGCGGGCGCCGTGGGTGCTCCGCCATCGCCGGCGACAGTCAGAGTTCTGGCGGTGTGGTCGGTGTCGTGGAGGCTTCCTCCTAGTGGCCTTCTGCCAGGGTGGATGTTTGGGGCGAACTGTGTCAGCGGTTCAGTGGGGTCCACCGGGTGGGGGCTTCATCTTACCCCGTTCCGCGACACCCTTCACTACTTTCACAGAACCAGACTGCATCTGTCTGCTGCGTTGCTCCCAGAACCTCTGGAAAATGCTGTCCAGTCTCTCGGTGCAGGACTCCACCGGGTTGGTGACAAGTTGTATGGGCGCAGGCTTCAGCCACATGGATTCGGGCACCATATTGTGTGGCCTGCTGGTTTTGCCTTCCAAGCAGTGTGGCGCGACTGGGGCTTGTTGTGCTGTGTGCCCTGGGCTGGTGGGGACCGGGATAACCCCTGCCGGTCCAAAGGGGGGGGAACGGGGACCCATGCTGAGGTCGTCGCTGGGTATTACCACGGGAGAGCGGCCGTCCCTCCTGCAGTTTCCCTGCGTGTCCCCCTGCTGACTAGGCCGCACTGCTGGGCTCCTGTTTCTGCGGGCGTTCAAAGGGGTTATTTCAGGACCCCTTGTGTCTGCTTCATTAGTGCTGGAATCTGCTCTCGATTGTGTGCTGCTTGCGGTAGGGTAAATGCTGTTAAAGCTGTTTTAGAGCAGTTGATGGCAGGAGTCCATAGAGAGCACGTCCAGCCATGTTGAGAGTCAGGCCCCGCCCCCCACTAGAGTCTATTTAATACGGGGGATTTTAAATCATTTCTCTTTGTCATTTCATCGTGATTTTATGACAAATTTAGCAGTATATTATTTTTCCCAAATGACTTCTGATGGTGAATATTATGTCCTAATATTTCACAGACCCCAGATTTGTATTCAGCTGCATCTCCCGAGTACAGCAATACTGATGAAGTCAAGTTTATGGAGAAATAAATTGCGGAAAAAGGTCTGTATTAAACAAATCGAGAACACAGTGAGGAGTTGAGACAGAATGCCTAAAAGTACAATGCTGTGACTACCTTTACATGTTGGGAACTGGAAACTAACGGAACTCTTATATGCTTATATTTGGATTTTTATCTTTTTATTGATCTATTCAGGAAGAAGCCTAGTTCCTGGGTATCGCCACAGAAGTGCTTAAAATTAGCATTTAAAAGGCTCCACATTCATTGAGCAAAATCCTAAAATAAATCATTGGCCTGGGACATTTTATTTTATTTTACGGAGTATACTATTATGTTTTATATTATCTATTACAGAATTTATAGATTACAGAATTATTTCTATGTTTGCCTTGTTTTTATGGCATTTGGGCTCTAACTAAACTGCCACAGAAATTGCAGCGAGCACCAGTTTAAATGGATATCATCCTGGTACCTTATACTGATAGGCTTGTGACACAGGGGCTGGAGGTCACCATCTTGTTTATCATTTGCCAGAAGGGACCTCCAGACAGCTATTTCTGTAATGTCTCATTAGTGAGACATCCTGAAATAGCCTAGTCTCACAAACTGCGGCGAGACCTGCTTTAAAAATAAACTTTTGACCAATTGTATAACGACCACAATACACACTGTACGTCTTTGGTCACAAGGGTATTAATCTATCTGTTCCCGCATTAAATTCTTATTAATCCTCTATAGATGTACACATTCAGAATGATTTCCTATTTATAGTTGTCAAAAAAAAAATCTTTAAAAAATGCAACTGGCTATTTGGCTAAGCAGTGCATCAGAAAACAAACAGACTCAAGGGAGAGGAAATGGCTCCTTAGACATAGACATCGCCATGCCATTTGTTATATACCATACGGCATACTGACTTATTCTGTGGAAACACTATTCTTTCTGGAGTAAATCGAGAAACATTAACGATGAACAAGCCCCACACTCCATAGCCAGTAAAGCTATTCCTGAACTTAAATGTGACCCTTCGTGAGCTTTGGTGAGAGCAGTACATTCTACTGCAATCGTCCATGGCGATGAATGAGACTAAATAAATTGTAAAACTATTAAACCCAGTGTTTAATATTTGCTGAAGTGCTTTACGTATGAAATGTGTCCTATTTTTTCATTTTATGAAAAGTACTAGTTTTAATAGAAATTAGCACTTTTATAAATTAAAATGATTACTCCCCCTGGCTGTCGATCAGACAAGAGGTCCTGTTACTTCCTGGTTTGGTTAGCTCAGTCTAACTAAACTCAAGAGGCAGCAATTACCCAGAGCACCTGCCCTGTAAAGTCTTCTCATTGAGCTGCATTGGGAAGTCTGTGATAGGACAGCCACAGAAAGTCTGGGCGGGGTTAGAAAGGGAGGGGCTTGCAAAGGTTGCAGATAGGAGATCTGCAGCTTTTGCAGGCTGTTTTAATTACACCCCCCAATGAAAAAAATGCATAATTTATTGTATGCATGTTTATAATGAGGGTATATCTGCTAAATTATTGAAAAACCTTGCCATTGGAGTGTTCCTTTAACCTCAAGCGTTAATTGAGAGAAGATGTTTTATCAAATTCACTTAATGTCTTTAAAATACCTGGATGATTTTTTTTGGGGGGGTTTTGTGTGTAAAGTTATAATAATTATTATATATAACTAGAAAAGCTAAAATTTCTGGGGAAATTGTGTGAAGTGTTCTTGCCTCCACCAGTAGTCTACAACTGGAGTGGGTGGAGTAACTGGGTGGAGTGGCTTGAGTAACTGTTGTGTGGTTGGAGTGCCTGGAGTAACTGTGGAAAGGTTGGAGTGTGGTTCACTCACTCTACAGCAAGGGCAGAGAAGAGCTTTTAAATCCCTCGAATATTCCACCAACTGTCAACAGGAACTAATAGATTTCAAATAGGGCAGAGAAGAGCTTTCAAATCTTTGAAATCCCTCGAACATTCCACCAACTGCCAACAGGAACTAATAGATTTCAAATAGAACAGAGAAGAGCTTTCAAATCTTTCAAATCCCTCGAACATTCCACCAACTGCCAACAGGAACTAATAGATTTCAAATAGAACAGAGAAGAGCTTTCAAATCTTTCAAATCCCTCGAACATTCCACCAACTGCCAACAGGAACTAATAAATTTCAAATAGGACAGAGAAGAGCTTTCAAATCTTTCAAATCCCTTGAACATTCCACCAACTGCCAACAGGAACTAATAGATTTCAAATAGGGCAGAGAAGAGCGGTTAAAAACAAACTGCTCCAAATTGCTCACTTCACTGGCGGTTGCCATTTTCAAACGGTCGTATGTTAAAAAGTATAAATCCTACAGTGAAGAGCTTTATATTGTGACACAAGACCCAGACCTACATTTTGATGCATAGTATGTCTCTGAAATATTAAAAATGAAGGCACAGTCGCAGTTTAGATATTGCCCTTCAAATTTGAGGTGGCTAGAGTGGAGTTTCAATGAATGTCAATGGACGGCGTGAGTTGCAAACAAATGGTCATATTGTGAAAACTATCAGGACTATGGCTTAGCCGTGGACATGTTTAGTGGCAGCAGGGATAGCTGAACGTTTTGATATAAGATAAGATCGTGTAGGTGGGCTTGAAAATGAGGGAGTGGTGGCAGTTTAGAAATCATGTCCTGATTTTTCAGCTCACACTCTAGCTTTTGCCAGCTCCCACTCTAGTTTTGAACATTTCGCCATTCATTCCTATGGGACCAATTCCACCCCAAAAACGACGATATTTCGTGAACCATTCGGCAAAACGTTCCACAAAGGATTACTACACCAATCGGGAACAATCCGCACGTTTTGGTATATTACTGTCTATGTAGTGTAAAAACTGTTGGAGGAGTTAGGGTGATAAATTTGGCCATAATAAGAATAATATATATGTGAGATAACATTAAGTGGTCTTGCAATGCAAGAACACTTAATTACACGTTGGCAATAGCTTCTGGTGCAAGGTTAATTTGCCAGTTTTGAGTCAATTATGTTTTTTACTTTTTGGGAGAAAGCTTAACATCAGGTTAAGTTAGTTGGCTTTAACTTTTTTTTCCCCCTCCTTATTATGGATCAACAGTAGCACAAAGTGGAGTATACACCAAGATATGTGTACTCTCCCTCAACTGCTCTGCACACAACCATAGTGCAATAATATTAACCGAGATCGGTTCTATAAAAGCACAGTCCCCATCACTCCAACAGTTCATTGTTAGAACTGCAAAAGTCTGAGTTTACTGTTATTTACTAAATGGCTTACATTATTCAACATGTATTTCACAGAATTTGTGTTTAAAATAAAAATATATAATCCTATTAAATTATAAAGTGTTTCCCTTTTCTGAAGAACATGCTGATTTTGGATCACCAGTACTTGGGTTTCCTGTAGTTATTGTTCTCCAAGCGTTTGCAGTTGTCGTAATAGCTAAGGAGCTCATTCCCACGCCATGTCCCACAGTGAGAAAATACAGCAGTAAAGTTTGTCCATTAGTGCTAGGTTAAGCTTGGATCTTTTATTGATGCCGTGGGTGCTTTCATTCATTAAACTGGGATTTAAAAGATGTTCTAAGAACTCTTCTTTGTTTGATTTTCTCCCTTTTGGTCTTAGTATACCAGTTCTATAAGTGTTGTGATTTCACCATAGACGAATATAGGTGAAGTATATTTATTGTGTCGCATTTATCCAAGGCAATCATAATGGCTTAGTTGGTGGTTTTATTGTGGGACATATAGGCAGTTTTGAAGGAGCAAAGAAAAAGTGGAGCGTTATAGGGGAGACCAATAGTCGCAACCAACAAAGCCCAGTGGAGCGCTAATGGTATAAATAACAACTTACCCTTATATAAAGGGATATAGGTATGCACATAAATATATCTGAGGAAAAAGAGATGGAGAACAACAATTTGGTGCAGTATGTAGAGACTTTGCAGAATTTAGGGTGAAACTTGAATTTTAACAAACTCACATGGTTGAGAGCCTGGAGAGGATAGGCTCAAATCACAGTCACAGTGGTATTTATAGTGAATACCCAACTTCTTCTATCTTGTTGTTTAGATGCTCAAAAAGAGAAACAGAGGAATAGAAAATCCTTGTGTGGTATCATCAAACTCAATGGAGCATTACACATAAATAAAGATATATGCTCACCTTGTTGAGAGCCAATATGGACTGGGCTCTCAGTTATAACAGCACTGTGCCTTTAAGAGGGCACAACTCTTCTTTTATGCAGCAGGAAAATGACAATTCAAGGAACTTTGATGTAGAAAAATAAAATAAATTGATTACATATACATATATAAAAATAAATAAAATACCATTAAATAATGGTCCAATAAAAGAAAGTCCTTGTTGTCCAATATCCGAGACGCGTTTCGCCTTATGTCCAGGCTTTTTCAATCGGTGTCCTGCTGTTATGATGTGCCGTTTTAAATACTATGGGATACTTCCTCGTTGGTCGAAATGTTTTGATTTTCCCGCCGTTCACCATCCAATCCCAGTGAAATCTTCCTGGGCTTCTATTACTAATCCACTCGAAACCGGAAGTGACGTATCGCAACAGCCGTGACATCACTTCCGGTCTCTGCCGATCTCCATATTTGATGCTGGCAAAAGCCAGCCAGTCTGTATATCGTCAGTGCATAATAGAAGGGACATTTTAAAAACGGGAGAGAAGAAGGAAAAAAAGGGGACATCAAATCTGTACTTAAAAATAAAATTCTAAAATCAACATAATCACTTGTAACAATATGTCCAAAATAGTTAGTATAGAGGAAACAGATGTTCCATAAATTACTTAACGTTAATCTCATTATAAAGTGAATATAACCCAAATATAGATACACAACACTATTGACCATATTAATTGTACAATAATATAATGTCTCCTTATGGGAAAATATAGATGTGGAAGGGCTGAGAAAAAAAAAAAAATTATACTTATAAAAAATGACACAATTCAAAATCATTATTTAAACCTTTAGGATGTAAAGAATCCAATTGAAATATCCATTTCATCTCAGCCTTTCCCATCTTCCTCACCATCTTTTCCCATCTTGAAGGAGCATAGAAGGTGCTGGATAGTTTAACGGTATATACCCGGTCCTTGAGCCAACCTGGAACCTTCGTATGGCCGCTTGACAAACGAAATAACCATGCGCGTTGCTCCAATCCCAGCATTGAGAACACTGCTTGCATTTCAAGTGTGTTCTTAAAGACACACAAGAGACATAACTTCATTTCCATCTCAGATTGGTACACATTCTGGGGTTGCAGGCATAATGTGGACCAATCAAATCACACATAGCAGTATTTAAACTCCTCTGGCCCCATTTACTATGCACTATCATGGTTTCTGTTCTCAGTACCCTTTACTGCATGTGTAGTCAATCTGGTCCCTACCGCCCACTAGTGGGCGGTTTGGGATTTCAGGTGGATGGTGGTGGTTTCTGCAGAAAATGTTCAGTGGGCCTCGATAGCCATGGACCAAGGCCGGCTGGGGAGATCCTTTCATCTCTCCTGCTGGGCCATGCAGACAGTCTTGCTGGTGAGGAAAGATCTTCCTCCCTCGGGCTGGTGAGAAAATCAAAGATCTCCCTCACTGGGCAGTTGGCACTTAGTTCCAGCAGAGGGAGGGAAGGGCCTGGGAGGCTCTGTGATCCTCCTGTGAGCAGGTTGGACGGAGCGTTGGCGCGCGTTACCATGTCAACACTCCAATTCAGCGCTGTGCTCGCAGGAGGACAGGAGAGTCAGCCTGCTGCCGAAGGAGCAGACTAAAGTGAACACGCCACCACTGGACCACCAGGGCTTGCAGCATTATGTCCCCCCTCTGGTAAAAGCTTAGAAAAAAGGAGAGGGAGACATTAAGATAGATTTTCACATTTCACCCACCTACACTACACCCCTCACACACACACACACACACACACAGACTGCCCCCTCACACACTGCACTGCACCTCACACACACACTGCCCCCTCACACACACACAGCCACCTTCACACACGGCCCCCCTCACAAACTACAGCACCCTTCACACTCACACAGCACCTGTCACACATACACACACTTCACCTCCCACACACACTGCACCCTTCGCGCGCACACTACACCACTCACACACACACTGCACTTCTCCCTCTCTCACACACACTCACATAGAAAAACCATAGAATAGAAAAGAGAAATTTTTTTAATAAAATAGACAAATTTAAGTACATATGTTTTTGT